CTGCTTTCCAACATAACTTGGGCGTCGTGGCTTGTACTACAGGTATGGTCTTCGACTAAAGTTGAAGCCTCTAACATGTTTACGTTGGAGCAGACAGAAGTGTGCTTGTGACAAATGATCAAGTCTAGTCGAGTTTATCATACATGCCTTAACATTCTAGTTACTGTTGACAACATGAAACTTAAGGATTTATACATTCTAAACATCGACTAAGTTGAAACTTTTGAAATATATATGTTTCTGATTTTTAGTCATGTCCAGTTATAAACTTCTAATGGTGGTCAAATCACGAAATTTACTATTCTACTTATTTATCTTCTACAAATTCAGACAATCATGTTATGTGTACATTCGGGATTGACACTCCGAATAAGACCCCCTCAAATAGGGGCCCGCAATTATTTTATTACGCAGAGGGCCACACCGGCACACCCCCCATGTGGGGTGGGGGGGTGTCACCTTGGATGTACACATAGTATTATTGAAATTCAAATAGGAAATGTCACTATTGTAAAAACAAAATCATTTGGTTATTATTCATTTGGTTGAATTACTTCTTTTCAATGATTTCAGAGTACGCTAAAACAATTGAAAATTAATATATTTTGACGATGGTCAATTTCTCTTTTAAGCTCATTTCTTATGTTCTTTTCGACGATGGAATTGTAGGGCCGAGTACTGAAAAGTTACCCATCAAAGCTCCTCTTGACAACCCTACAATGCTTTTTGAGCACCATACAATCATTCTTTGTTGTCGTTGCTTTTGTAAGAGATCCGAATGAATGGAAACTTGGATGGAATGTAAAACTCATATCAATAGCCTATTGTGTAAGTAAAATGCATCTCTTGACTATGAATTTCGATTTTGTGATTTTAAAACAAAATTCACTTAAAATCATTACAAATATTAACTTCGTAGTATGGATGAGTTTTTGAAGTTCTATCGGGCATCTGCACAACCATCACATCTAAAGTTTAAGTTGTTAGAGATTGGATAAATTTATTTATTTATATATATTGAGTTTTTAGAGCGACCCCTCCCGACCTGCCCCTAGTCCTGGCCCCCTCATATTTAGGCCGTGTTATTTTTCCACCAAATGGATCGCCCATACACAATTTTTATAAATGGCGACCGAGAGGCTTGGACCTAGGTCATTAACATGCACAAGTCTTTTGATAAAACCAAGTAAATTCGGCTTGCGCTTGAAATGAGTGTATTGAAGACCTCATGCAAATAAATATTTCTTTCTTTTTTGTCATGAAATTGTAAAACAATTTCTCATTGAAAATGAGGAAAATTAATTTAAATTTAGGCTTTTCACTTGTCATTTTCTATCATATTCTTGACAGGGAATAGTTGTGACTGGTATTACATTTTATCTGCAAGCATGGGTCATCGAAAAGAGGGGTCCTGTCTACCTAGCCATGGCCACTCCGTTGCTTCTGATATTTACGACTGTTGCATCCACATTCCTCTTTGGAGAGATCATTAGTCTTGGAAGGTAAATTACCATTGATTATATATTAATTACCTCGAAATTAAGGGTTAATCACCATTTTTTACGGCGAATTAATTTTAAAAAGTAAGCTCCTATTTGGTTTAGTTAAAAATTTTGATGAAAATTTAAGTTAAAATCAACAATTAGACCCCGTTTGATAGAAAGAATTTTTCATGGAAGTTAGAAATTATTTTCCATTTTCCACGTTTTCGGCTGTTTGATAGGAAAAAATTTCTACACAATTGATTTTCCAACTTATACCTCGCATGACCTCATTTTCCACATTTTCTTTGAATCAGTTTTCCTACGGATTTGGTGGGTTTTGGTTTTCTAGACAATTCTTTTTTTTTCTTCCTTTTTTTTTTTTTTTAAACAAATTCTATCCATGTAATAAACAATTTCCATAGAAAACAAAGCCAGACGAACACCAAAAAATCCAAAATTTAAATATTTTTCTGATGAAAAATTATATCAATCAAACACAATTAATTGACAATTTTCAGTAAAACAAGTTTTGGGCAATTCAATTATTTGGAATTCATTTTTTTCCAACCAAATTTCATTCTTACAATCAAACGGACCCTTAATTTTATTCATATATTTCATGAGTCCCACAACTTTTCAACCATACATTTCATCAACTTTTATCAAAATCTTTTAAACATATGATTTTTAACTGAACCAAACAACCAAACAAGGGTTAAATAAATAGAAACATGCATGAACCAAAGTTTAATAGCTAAAAACCACAAGGAATGTTTGGCCATAAATCGAAGCATTTTTTCTTGGCAGAATGAAAAATAGCTAAAAATTTAAGCAAGACCAAACAGGTCTATAACTATAATCTAGTCCGTATGGATTGGAGCCTTTATAAATTTCTTTTATATTTGTCTTTACTTCTGCATTTATTACACATAAGTGTTTTGTAGTGTTTTGGGAGCACTTTTGTTAGTTGGAGGACTTTATTGTGTGCTATGGGGAAAGACTAAAGAGGAAGAAAGGGAGAAAGGAATATGTGCAGCAGTAGTTGATGCTACGAAAGCCAATGGAGGATCAAAGGAAGATACCGTGACGTAGATATTCACCGTTCCTCCTATCAATGAATTTGAAAAATAATTACATTCTTCAATCGATGCTAATCTAACGGTCTAGATATTAAAAAATTTATTGTGGTGTGTTTGGATGTGGGTATAGAAATTTTAAAAGGCTTGTTTTAAGGGAAAAATGATTTTTTTTACAAAATGTATGATTAAAAAGAAGGAAAAATTGGAGGCTAAGCAGATTGAACAATATTTCGATTTAAACCCGACCTATGATAATCGTAGTAATTACGTCTAGCGTGTGCTTAACATTAAGAGTCTAAGCCCAAATTAGCAAATATCATGGGTTGCAGATTTTGAAAGTGCAATTCAAGTAAATGACACTAAACAAGAAAATAAATTTTCATCATTAGTCCTCAATATATTGACTTCATTGCAACTTCATCCTCAATTACAATTCTTTTTGGTAGTGTTGTTTCCAAACCTATCAATTTATACCACCATTAATCCTCACCGCCAAACCCCTCCTCGAAATAATGTGTATTTGATTCAACGTCTAAAAGATTGTTCACATAAACTCAACCTTGGTCGAATAATCCAATTGAGCTTGACTTAGTCGATAACTTTGTTTTCTTATAGAATTTTCAACTCGATCTGAACCAAGACAATGCAAGCGGGTTGCATTACCTAGAAAGTATGGACGCTTGAACTTTGCCAAACTAGACACAAAACGGATCAAGTTTTTACTAATAGAAAGTTTTATTTTTTATTTTTTTTTTTATAATGAAAAAAAATGAAAAACGTGTACATTCAGTCTTGAAGAGGATCATGGACCAAACAACCACACTCAAATGGTCTGCGGACCAAGCTGAACATGGCCAACTCATAACTTGTTGGAATGTCTTTTTCTTCTTGTTTTGAACTATTTACTTCTCACGCGACAGTCGACACTCTCACTTTCCTTAAAATCCCCAAAAAAACTGGTCGTGCAAGCTCATATTTTCTGAAAAGACATAACCTTTTCACAGTTAATATTTTCATTGTATTTTGAAAATTGTTCCAACATCTATTATCTTTAACTCAGAAATTAATAAATATCCTACTATAACTCCAATAAATGATAATTTTCTATTTCTTGAAACCCACCAACTTGATTCTAGTTCTTTGGTGAACTACTCCATTAATGCTAATTGGACTGGTCTATAAGCTGGTTCGTCGATTTTCTTGTTAAATTCGACGATTTGGTCCGAATTTTAAAACTATGATGATATTGCAATTGAGGCTAGGATGTGCTATGGAGGTTGAGAAATAAAATTACAAGTGCACGTTGTGTTAAATAAATTTATTAATTGTACATATTTCAAGTAATAATATCTATGAATCTATGATAAGAATATGATTAAGAGAAGAACCAAGTTGGAAAGAGTGAAAAGAAAATGAAATTTTAGATGTATTCTTCTATAAATATGCAATAGCAATTGACACGTGTTAAGATACATCTAAATTTTATTATGATGTTTTATATTCTCTTCACATTGTATCTAACAATATTTAAATTTTTTCCCTTCTTAAATCTTGTTGAACATTTGAACGTGCCAAACATGTCTAACGTTAATTTATTAATGAGAAGTGCTATTTAAATTAAAAATGTAAAGAAAAAGTAAATTAAAAATAGGTGAAAATTATAGTGTCGGCCCATATATACGTGTGGTGAGTCACAAATAGTGTACCAAAAATCTCTCTGCACCGTTGAATGAACCCGAAATGTTGTATTCGCGACCCTATAAATCATTTCATTTTCCTCTCATTATCATTCACAATCTCTCTCTAACCAAGATTTTCTAGAGAAAGAGAGAGTATATTTACACACGTATAAATAGATACATCTATATAAACAGTAAGAAGTAGAAACTAGATAATGGGAGGTTGTGCAACAAAGCCAAAGGTGTCGAAGGGTGACGAAACCGGGGCTCCGGCGCCTGTTACGAAGGAGGAGGTGGAGGTGAAAGAGGAGGTGGTGGTGAAAAAAGTGGCGGCGAAGGATGAAGGTATGGTGGCCGATAATGACACCAAGCGTCAATCCCTTGGTTTTTTGTTCGAGGTAAAATTTATTAATGCATGGAATTATTGTTTTCATGTTCATTGTCTTTTGAATCTTGGATTCTTGTTTTTTGTCGGAATTGTGGTTGATTATCATATGGATTATAAATTGACATATGTGCGTGTGTGACTGAACAAATTCATAATGAAATGTTAATTAAGAAAAGATAAAAATGATGTTCAAATGATGTTAAGAGCATTCGAAACATGAAGAAATCATAAGTCAATTTGTCATAAGTTGCTTTTTTTGAATTAAATTTCCCATATATTTGGTACGAAGCATTGGATATTACTATTGAAACGTCTCTATCATATATGTCATAAAGGATTTCTTTCGTTCGCCTTTCGATTTTCTTAGTTATAATTTTGTGAACAATTTCTTCTAAAGGTTTAAGCAAAGCAGGTGGCGATACAACCCGTATTGTGTATTGCTATAATGTCATATTGAATCATCTTATCTAAAAGATCGTCCTCCTTTATTTGAAAATTTAGTGGCAATTCTTGGAGTTTTGATCTAGTATTTTGAGATTAAATGAATGAACACGATTTTTTATTTTTTTTAAATATTTATTCTTGATTCTTTTTATCGTTTATTCGTCGTTGTATATTTTCACAAAGATTCGCATAATCCTTCCAAATTAAACACTGCTTTTCGAGTCGTTAGTTGTTGTTATCTTTCATTAATTATTTACTATAAAGTATTTTGCATAAATTAATTGCTTATTAAGAATCTCCTTAAACTGAAATCTTAGTTATAAACTTTGAAAGTTTATTGGATGTAGACAGCTCATTTTTATGACCCACAACATGTCTGTTTCTCTTTGTTTATGTTTTCCACTTCATTTTTCTGCATGTTTTGTTGTTACTGTTGTAAAATAAGTGACACTAAGTTGTCTAGCTTTCTAGTTAATTTCATGTTACTTTTAGTGAGAGATTACGCAATCACTTCGATAATTTGTGGGACGATTACTTTTCAGTTCTCGTCTCATGGAAAATCCTTTTGCTCTCCTTAACCTTGTCATGCTTTACAGTGGATTTTTAATGATTGGTTCTATACAGACAACCGAATTGGACAACATTATTTAGCCAAATATCTGAGGACATACTCCTATGTTCCTTTCATCAAAGTATTTCATGTATCCGATCCCAAATTCAGTGGGAACACATCTTAGTTTGTTGTAGTTATTACTTCTAAACCTTGAACAATATAGGGCACCTGTGATGCATCGACATGAACACATGTTGAACACGTCAACACATGAGTTTTAAAAAAAGAGAGAAAATTGACTATGGTAGAGTATTCGAGGAGTATCGATATCTGACACATTACCCTAGTTGAGCTGCCTGAGTAACAGAGTAGGGTACGTTTAATACAATGGATTTCAATTAAGGGACAAAAGACGAGTATTTCATGTGTATTTCTTACTTAACTCATCTAGTGAGCATGCTTATGTATGTCAATGGTTCGCTGGAACCCTGATTTGTATCCAATAATGTTGAGTTTTGGGCCAATTCAAATGATCTAATTAGCAGGTGTTAATAATCTAGTGTTTGTGAGACATTATTTGGTCCTTTTCTTTATCTGAGATACTCAAAATTCTTTGAATGCTTATCCAGAACGACCGGAAGCTGAGATCAGATGATAGCAATAAAACGACTAATGAACTAGTAGAACGAAAATCATCTGAAACCGAGAAGGTCTCTGATGCACCGGAAGCCAAGCCCCTAGAGGACGTAGGCGTTCAATATCCTAAACCAGTTTCTGATACTTCTGAGGTCTCAGATGAAAAGAACGAAATTGTAAAACCAACAACAGACAGTTTAGAAGCCGAACCTTCACAGACGATAAAAGAAGTGAAACCAGTTGAGAATGCAAGGGTCAAAACGCTAGAGGAAAAGAAACCTATCGCGCCTGATCAGACGAACAGCTTAGAAATTGAAACATCAGAGACTATAGAAGAATTGAAACCAGTTGAGAATGCAGAGGTCGAAACAGTAGAGGAAAAGAATCCTATCGAGCCTGATCAGATGAACAGCTTAAAAATTGAAACGTCACAGATGCTAGAAGAAGTGAAACCAGTTGAGAGTGCAAGGGTCGAAACACTAGAGGAAAAGAAACCTATCGTGCCTGATCAGATGAACAGCTTAAAAACTGAAACATCACAGATGCTAGAAGAAGTGAAACCAGTTGAGTATGCAAAGGTCGAAACACCAGAGGAAAAGAAACCTATCGTGCCTGATCAGAAGAACTGCTTAAAAATTGAAACATCACAGATGCTAGAAGAAGTGAAACCTGTTGAGAGTGCAAAGGTCGAAACACTAGAGGAAAACAAACCTATCAGGCCTGATCAGACGAACAGTATAGAAATTGAAACATCGCAGAAGAAAACAGACGAGAAAGAGGTGGATACTACGGCTGAAACAGTGGAGAAGAAAATCGAAGATAAACCTAATACACCTAATCAGGAGACAGAGAAGTGAAAGAGGGATGTGCTGCTGAGTATGGCATCAAAGATCATAGAGTGATATAAACTCGAAGTAATGAACGTACTTTTACTGTTTGATTAAGTAACTTTGATTCGAGTACTTTAGTTAAATTCTTTAGTATTATTTAGCCTGTTTAATTTGATAAAATAAAAAGAACATTGTCGGTAGTATAGTTAGCGATATTGTGTACGTACAAGTAATGGAAGATTATTAGGCAAATTTGATAAATGCAGACACCTTCTGCCATTATTAGATTAAAAACGTGTTATGGTATGTATACATAGTTGTTGTGTTTCTTCAAATTTGAGTAGATTCAGTAGAAGATCAAGTGGAGCCGGGAGCCAGAACCTTCATGTTCGGGTACGAAAAAATATTGAGGCGGCAAAATATACATAAAATTATGTATAGATTCAAAAATGTTCAAAATTTCTGCATAAATTTTGAAACTTC